TCACATAATCACAAAAATTACTATATAAATCAGTTCACAATTTTGTTTTATCGTTAATCCATTTTTTATATAGTTATTATTAGTATTTAATATTAATATTATAAATGCATAATATAATCATTAAATCAATCATGCATACCAAACAAACAAAGAATTATATTAAATATAAAACATACATAAATTAATAGTGCAGATAAATGACATATTGATATGGGTAGAAGTCTTTTAAACTATCATGTAAAAAAAATTATTCTATCAGCAAATAAGTGCTTATAGGTTTCTATATGTTTAGTCTAGAAACTGCTATCATCTATATAGAGAAATAGATTTGTGCTATTTTCTAATTCGTCTATAATTATCCATATTAATTAAACACATTAAACACTAATTATCTTATATATTGATTATGACATTAAATTATATGGCAGAAAATTTCTAATAGTGATATTTAATTTTGCTTGAAAAGTGGCTAACACTAATAGGTTAATCTTGGATTTAAAAAAGATTTATGAGCCACTTTATGATTATTAAAACAAATCCAAAACCAGAATTAAGTCTCGTGTGAGGGTAAATAAACCATGTTGACGGACGACATTATCGAATCATATATTGAAAAAGAAAATCGGTCCAACGGATTTTAGGTTGTCGACGACATTTATTATTTATTTGTATAATCGTAAATGCATGGTATATTGGTACTGTCAGAAAAATAAGTTGGTAGGTGAACATATGAAAAATTGGCAGAAGAGATACAAATCATAACTACAATATAGTGTGTGTATGTATGTATGTATGTATGTATGTATGTATGTATGTATGTATGTATGTATGTATGTATGTATGTATGTATGTATGTATGTATGTATGTATGTATGTATGTGTGTATGTGTGTATGTGTGTATGTATGCATGTATGTATGTATGTACGTGAATTAGGTGGTCCAGAGCCCAAGATCAGATTCGAATCTAATTAATTAATCAGCTAACATATATGATCTCGTATCTCCATATCCCTAACCACGTACTAATCGTAACTAAATCCTAATTTCATTAAATTATATAAATTAAATATATTATGTGTGTATGTGTAAAAACGGAAAAATACAATAAAAAACCAAATTTTGAAAGAAAGAAATTGGGAACCAACATTCTCTCAATTATGTTGTTGAAACTGCCACCGAATTTTCAATTTTATTTTCTTCATCAATTTTAACACATGGGTAGAAAAAGTATTCTTATTTTTAGAGTCGTAAACCATAAATATTTATTAAAATAAAAACTCTAATCAAAGAATTATATATAAAAAAATTGTTAGGTTTAATAATTTGTTTAATAGATTCTCAGTTTGAATAACTATATTAAAAATATGATATTTTAATATGTTTGGAATTTCGTATTCATTTTCAGGAAAAAAAACTTTGGATGGGATCTTGTGGATAGAAATTCGTTTTGAATTATGATAAAATTCACCAAAATTGGGAAAATTTTGTTAGGCCTACTTTCATATAAATACGATATAGAATATGATACGCGCAAATGGACCGACCTTGGGGGATAAGTCAACAGGCAACGGCAATTTGCATGGGACTCGAGGCAATAGCATCACATAATTTACTAATTTATACGTATGGTGCTAATTTATTATTATCATTAAGGCAAATGATCGTAATAGGTTTATTAATTTTTTTGCATCGTTCGAAAATTATTACAATAAAAAATTACTCTTAAGTATCATTTTAATTTTTTCACAACTATTAAGAAAATATAATAAAAAAATCATGTACGCCTCAATAAACCATATTTTCATCAATACTCTATTAATTTTATATTTTTAATTAATAATAAAATTTTAAAAAATTAAAAAATCACTTAAAAAATCTAAAATGATATTTATTTAGTAACACGTAATATTGTATAAGACCCCATATATTTTAAAAAAAGGATGGAGTATAAAATTTATGCAAGATCAATATTTTATTATACATCCATTAAATGGCATCCAGATTGCAAAAGAGAAGTTACCGCCATTTTATGCAATTATTATTTTGAATTTTTATGTATAAATAATAATAATAATGGAGACAATATCAGTATTTTAATCTCTTAATAATCTTTTGGGGTTTAAACCATCAATGTTGTCAAATGAGTCAACTATTGAATTGTCATTTATATTCATTTATTCGTTGGTTAAAATTTTCTTTCCAATAAAGCACATTTTCTCATTAAATAAAAAGATATTCACTCTTATAAATCAGAATCTCGAAGATTTGGTTCAAACCCAATATTTTAAAACAAAAACACACATCATTGTAAATGAATATATTTTTAAATTATTAATTAATTTTGAATATGTTGTTATGTGTTATTAATTAATTTTGTCGAAATTATTTTTTATATTAGTCTTAAATTATTTGCATGAGATGTCACGCGGCCGAACATATAAACCGAGTTAGGTTGGGTACCTGCAAAATAAATAAATAAAATATATAACTTTTTAGCCTAAAAAGTTTCGTGCGCAGTTTGACCAAATCAAATCTCTTGAGATTTTCATTATTATAATATGCTCCTCCGTATCATTACCGTATCATAATAAAAAGGTAATCATTGGTCGTTTATATATATATATATATATATATATATATACGCACACACACACAATAGACGTACCAATGATTTACATAGTAGTAATGCTTGTAAATTGATTTTTTTTTCTACAAAAATTAATTATCCCCTATCACAATAAGCTTGTGGGTTTCCTCCCTCATTTTTCTCTACATAATATATTATTAATTCAATATCATAATAAAATTCAACTATATAATATAATTAGCATATATATACTATTAATAAGTGGTCGATATAGTTTCTATTATCAACAAATTACAATCAAAGATTCCTCATAACTGATTTGGATTGATATTTTGAATTTCATATGTGGTGTAAGTAATTTAATTATTGGTTTCAATATTTCAGGACAATTTCAAATTTCAATCATGGCTTAGATGTGGATAAATCTAAGCGAGTTTATGTATGTATGTATGTATGTATGTATGTATGTAAGTATGTATGTATGTATGTATGTATGTATGTATGTATGTATGTATGTATGTATGTATGTATGTATGTATGTATGTATGTATGTATGTATGTATGTATGTATGTATGTATGTATGTATGTATGTATGTATGTATGTATGTATGTATGTATGTATGTATGTATGTATGTATGTATGTATGTATGTATGTATGTATGTATGTATGTATGTATGTATGTATGTATGTATGTATGTATGTATGTATGTATGTATGTATGTATGTATGTATGTATGTATGTATGTATGTATGTATGTATGTATGTATGTATGTATGTATGTATGTATGTATGTATGTATGTATGTATGTATGTATGTATGTATGTATGTTATAATAATGAGCAAAGTGGTATCCAAGGAACTAGAGGAATCGGCAATGGAGATGCTTTCCAACAAGCTAGGGACCAATAAATTTCATAAAGGCTTATTCTATTTCTTAAAATAATCAAATATACATAACATTATAATATATATATATATATATAGTATATGTATATATGCCATTCTATGTATATCCACCAACAACACTACGTATGCTCATGCAATCGCTCCTCTCTCTCTCTCTCTCTCTCTCTCTCTCTCTCTCTCTCTCATTCTCTCTCTCTCATCTTGGAAGATTCTGCCATTGTTGTTACATAACAAGGTCAGTTCTGTACTCATTGTCTTTTTTTTTTTTGCGATTTCATTGTCTGTTACTTTTATCAATTTTTTTTTATGAAAGTTTTAAATGAAATTTCTTTGTTAAGTTTATTTTTTTTAACTTAATAGATATATTGATTCAAGAAATCGATCTATCTCCGAGTAAAATGTCACGTCGTAGAGAAAGGAAAATTTTATATTTCTTACAAGATATGTGATGAATTGAGATTTAAATCGTATGTTTATTCTTTCTATTTCCTTCTTTCCATACATATTTATGTAAATACAATTTCTTAAAATTAAATACCTTGTAATTTCAACTAAAATATTACATGTGAAGGGGTTTTATGCTTTTTTTGGACTGTGTTTTTAATATTTATATCCAAAACTAGACTATGATTATAAATTTGTCTAAAATTGAAACACTTGAATCTGAAAATAAACCCGAGACTTTAACCCTTAGTGTTTTAATAACTATAATAGCAAATTTCATAGAAAATTGAATCGGTTTTCAAAGAACCGGTGAGGTTTAATTTAAAGTTCCAACTTGTCATTATTTATTATGAGGCAGATGATGATAAAAACTATACATGAATTGTGCCACAAAATGCCTTTGTTTTAGAGACCAAATTAGAAACAACAATATATAGTAGTTGCCATTTTTTTTATATATTTTATAAACCAAGTGATGAGGTGGACAATTAATTAGGTATTTCGATATTTGTTTTTATATTCTTAAATTATAAATATTAAATAATACATATTTTGTGTACTAATTAAGTGTATTGATGAAGCAGTATAAAACCATTAATATTTTATTAATTTATTTATTTTCAATCATATTAAAATTTTCAAAATAAACTCAAACTTCAAACAGGATCTCCGGTAAAAAAAACCTTAACTGTTACCATTTTGATTTTTATTTGGCATCTATTTAGTAAAATCGTATCATTTTGAAACGATACTAATATCGAACCGAATAACATATAATACCGAATAAATCGTTATAATTAAAATTCTGAACTGAATCCCGAGATATGGAGCAAGTGCGAAATTGTAATGGTGGGTAATAGGTAAGGCCAAATCTAATATCATAATTTTGAGCTCATGTAAATGAATAAATTTGATATGTCAAAATAACCCTAACGGGATAGTGTCTACCTTTTAACGAGTCTCACATAAAGGAGCAAGCCGGCAAAAAAAATACACAGAGCCCAAGAACCGGACATTTACATCACATTCGAACACTGTTTGTATATTATTATATTATTACATTTCTTGTTTGGTCTGTCGAAGACATTGCAAAGCCTGTCTCGCTCTCTCTCTCTCTCCTTCCATTGCTTCTGATTCTTTGTCTCTTTAATAGCCTTGCTTTAACTATCTTGTTGCGGTTGGTTCCATTTCCACCATTAATGCTTTCTACAGAGAGAGAGAGAGCTGAAATTTTCAAGATTTGACCCTTTCTGGTGTTTTATGATATCAAGTCTCTTTGCTTAACGTGTGAGTGTCTGCACGAGGATGCGGCATTGATGAAATTTAAGATTAATTATCACATTTCACTCTTCGAAGTCTGTTTAACTCCGTCAAGTGCGCAGATTTCTCATATGGGCATCCATGGTTTCCAATTTTCTCATTTGGGTTGTCCAAAAATTTTGCATATCTTATTGTTTCTTGATTGCACTAATCGTGATTAGTCAAACTCTAATCCAAAGATTAGTTTTTTTCCTCCTCCGACAGTAAAGAGAGAGAAGCAGAGCCGAAAAAGGAGCAGAGCAGAACAGGAACAGTGAGGTGTCTGAGTTTTGCTTGAGGTTCTTGTTTCTCGGGCCACGCCGCTCGTGTCTGTTCCTCGTGCGCTTCGCTGCAACAGATCTCAAATTCCAAGACCCTTAATTGCTGCCAATTTTGCTCGAGACATTCAATCGGATTGGTCATCGCCATTGATGAACCAGTAACAGAGGAGAGAGAGAGAGAAGGGTCTCTTTCGCCACTATTTATAACCCTTCAGTTTCTCCGCCATTTCTGTTCTAGGTTTCGGTTTCGCCTCTTGTACGGACAAACGGGTGAACATTTCTTGTTTTTTTTTTGAAAAAAAAAATGTCGATCCGACCCACTTCCTCGTCGGTGACAGAATTGACTTGTGACGGTTGCTTTGCATGGAGACAAAGGTACCCACTTTTCTTTTTACCCAGATTTGACTTGTAATTCTTCTCACTTCCTGAATCTCTGGGTCGTATTATGTTTTTTTTTTTCTTTCCGATTAGTTTAACCCCCTGTTTCGTTCCCCGTACTTGGCCATTTCCCATGGAGCTTTTGAAAATTGAGAGCATTGACTTCAGTTTTCTTATGTTATCAGGGAGTGAAACCCGGTCCGAGAGCCGCGTGGGCTACAGCAGCACATATAAAGAGACGAGCTTTCCGCTTTGTTTGATCTGTTGGGTTCAGTTTATATGTGAAGGAGATTGGTTCTCAAGTGCTGTAAGAGATGTCGAGTTCTGATGGGAGTGAACTGGATGTGTTCTTCGATTCATCCGAGGTTTTGTCCGCTGATGAATCAGTTGCAGATGAAGAAGGGTTCGGGGATGGAGAGCTAGGGTTTAGGGTTTGGTCATGTGAACCAGAGAGCGTGGTGAGAAGGCGTGAACGTTTTCTCGAGAAAATGGGTTTCTTCGAGTTTGTTTCCCACGAGAAGATCATCAATGGATCCTCGTCTGATCCGGCATGTCTCGACAGGATGAGCGTTTGTAACGATGAAGCTACCAGCTCTTCAGCTGAAGGGACTTCCCAGTTTCTTGGACGGGAACAGAACAGCGGCTCGAGTTCCTTGTCGGATGAAGACTTAAAACACTTGAACAAGGAAGACGACGGTTCCGGAGAGCACTTGAAGAACAGATTCAAGAGTTTCAGCAAGAAGAGGACTAAGAAATGGTTGCTGAAATTTTTGGGTAAGGATTACAGTTTCACGCCGCCGAAGCAGAGTAGCAGACGCATTAGCAAGGTGAAGGAGAAGGCGAAGAAGAAATCTCACCGGGAGTTAACCAAAGTGCAAGAGATCGAAGGGCATAAAGGAATGATATGGGCAATGAAGTTTAGTCCTGACGGCAAGTTCTTGGCCACTGGAGGGGAAGATGGAGTTCTACGAATATGGAAGGTTACGTTATCGGATTCTATCCAAGAAGATGAAGCAAGCTATGGGTTAGCTGCCAGCAAGAAGTTCAGGAACCAACCACTGGTTCTTCTGCCAGAGAAAGTTTTACACATTGAGGAGCAACCAGTTCAAGAGCTTCACGGCCATGGGGATGAGATACTTGACTTGGCATGGTCAGATTCAAACGTAAGCTGGTTACATAACATGAACTCATGTTTTTCATGTTCTCTTCTGTTCTGGTTTTGAATCCATCCATCCAGACCTAATGATCTCTTGCTGTTTTTGTCTGCAGCTTCTTGTTTCGGCTTCCAAGGACAAGACTGTGCGGCTATGGCGAATGGGTAGCCACCATTGTCAACATGTATTCCATCATAATAACTACGGTAAGTAACAGCACCACACTATAGGAGACCTGGTTCTTCGTCCATTGCTTCTGTACGTTGAAGGTGTTGAGTTCTAACGGACAAAACTGTTGAAAAAACAGTGACTTGTGTTCAGTTCAACCCTGTGAACAAGAACCATTTCATCAGCGGCTCCATAGATGGAAAAGCTCGAATCTGGGGATTGTCTGAAGAGAGAGTCGTCGCTTGGGCTGATGCTCGTGACGCCATTTCCGCAATCTGCTACAAACCCGACGGAAAGGTACAGTTTCTTCACAATGACATATGGTCAGATTCCTTAAACAGATCAATGCCAGTATTGTCGGAATCAATGGTGCTCTGTTTTTTTTTTCCGGTGAAACAGGGGTTCGTCGTTGGCGCCATCACCGGAACTTGCTGCTTCTATCAAACCTCAGGTACTTAAAAACCAGACCCTTAATCGGATTCACACTTTTTCGTTCCAAAAACAGGATCTGAAAATCTTCGATCTCGTGATATGATTTGGGCAGGAAACGATGTTGAAATGGAGGAGCAGATTCGTGTTCCGGGACGGAAGAAAACCTCCGGCAACAAAATCACCGGCGTCCAGTTTTGCCCGGAAAATTCCGACAAGCTCTTGGTTTCCTCGGACGACTCGAAACTCAGGATGTTTCACAGAACCCATATCCTCCACAAATTCAAAGGTGCGTACGCAGATACGATCTTCGCGATTCGTTTCTCAGTGATTCTCCATAATCGAACGATTTCGATTCTCAGGTCCCGGAAATTCGAGAAACCAATCGTCGGCGTCTTTCGTCTCCTCCGGGAAACACATCCTCTCAATCGGAGATGATTCTAGGGTTTACCTCTGGAGCAACGACGGATCGCGAAACGCGCCGGAACCGCAAACGCAATCGCGGAGAAACGCGAGATACTCGCGTCCTAGCGAGTGGTTTCACTCGCCGGACGTCTCGGTGGC